TAAAGAGCCCCAAACCCAGATTCACTACTTCTACATAAGCTGTTCTTCCTCTCAGTCTTTGAAATGCTTCACTGACAATAAAGTATTTTTTACTGGATGCTGGCACACCGGCAGTAAGCAAACCCTAGTAGTTTTGCCTCTGATTCCAGTTGGGTGAGTAACTTACTCTGCTTTATAGTATCCGCTTTACATCTTTGGGAAAGAGACAGAGAACTTGAGATCGATCTTACAAGGCAAAAATATAATATAAATGCCAATTATTGTCATAATCCAAGTCTTACAAAAGAGACTGACCTCTGACTAAGCACAGGGCTGGGAGCCAGATACTTCTGAATTCTACTCAAGGCACAGACTGATTCATACTGACACCTTATCTGTCTAACCCTAACCTTCCCTGCTTCTAAAATCTGGGTTTCCTACCATTGTTGCAATTCTACAGCAACGAGGCAGGAATTCAAACTCTGAGGCTGGATTCAAGGGCAGAATGAGGGATCAGAAGGACTAACAAACAGAGAGAAGAGCTGTAGTGGCAGCTGAGTGCTGAACCAGGGCCCAAAGCCCAAACCTGTGCCAAGAGCAAAGGAGGAGCTCTTGGATTCGGGAGCCGAAGACTAAACTTTGGATATATAAGCTCTGTAACAGAACCAGGGCAGGACTTATGCGCTTGAGTTACACAGCTAAGCAAATCTCACCGAGACACCAAAATATTGTCTTTAACCCACATGAAGAAAGAGAGAAATTGTGGCAATAAAACTGAGACGTGGGCCTAGCCTAGGCACCAGACTGGCAAGTCATGTATTTTCAGCCATCAAGATGACAGGGGTAGGTATACTTCTGCCTTCTGCCTCCAGTTCACTTCAGAATTTGACCAATCCTTTATTAAAATCCAGACAGAATCTCAGAATTCTTCTATTAATTCTGCTAGCTGGAGTACCTAAATAAGATGTGTATTTACACATCTTCCTATAGAATACCCTTGTGAGGCAGGGGAGTAAAACTACGCTCATTTTTGAGACCAAGAGCTCACAGAAAGGGGCTGGCCTTCAGACAAGTCAAAATGACTTACTTGTTCAAAGTCACACAGGCATCCTTCAAGATGGCAGATCAAGTGCCTGGCCAAACTTCTGAGCGTTTTCTCACCACACATACAGCCGTCCTACAGGGTCCATCAATAGCATCGGATATGACAAGGCGTAGGACAAGTTTCAAGGAATGCTATCACCAGGATTTCCACCACCTCTCTTCCACACATAAATAAAGAGACGTTCTGAAGTATTTCAGGCACCTTCATTCTCCCTCAGGACCTATCACCAGCAGTAACAATTAACACACTTTCTTAAAAGAGAAATTTGTTACTTCAGAAAACTAAAATCCAAACCCAGCAAATAACCGAAACTTACCTACCCCTAATTTTGTGCTTAACTACACAGCAATTTTTTTTTTCCACAAGAAAATAGTTTGCAAGTGTAGTTTTACTGGCACACAGTCTTTGTGAAGACAGAGATTATACTCGGAGAACAACTCAGGAATAGATAACAGTGGCTCCTTGAAGAATATAAATCACAATGGCAAAAACAGGGGCTTTTGGCCACAGTTGCTTCCGTATTAGAGTTTTATTTTATTTAAAAGCATTTCAAAAAGAAATACACATCCTAATTAATGCTCTTAAAGCAACAAACATCTCTTTGTGTAGCCCAGACCTGAACTAGAGAAATGTCCTCTTGCATGACATAGAGAAGACCCAGCCTATGCTCTCAGGGCAACTCCACATCTTTCTGCGTCCTGCTCGGAGCAGGAGGAGAGCACCTACAGATGCAAGTCCCGAGGCTGCAGATGCATGAGAGAGGGTGAACTGACCTACGACCTGCTCTTCTGCCCTTCTGCACAGCTCCAGGACTTGGTGGAAGTGTCTGCAGATCAGTTCAGTTCACTAACCCAGCAGGAAAATCAATCAACCAACCAACCAACCAGCCCACCCATACCTAGTTTCTGCCTGGGTGAGTGAGCTGAATTAGCTTAGAGAAGGCTCTGATAATTGCTATTACCAACTAAACAGATGGCGACAAGCCAATTTGGCCAAATGCAGAAGTAGGCACAAGAGGCACACATACAACAAGATTTCTTTTAGGTCCCTTTCAGAGTGGCTTAGCTGCCTGTGAAATCATGAATTAACTCATCTGGTTTATCTTAAAGTAAAACTAAGGGCTCAGACAAGACACGGTTTCAGCTGAAGAAGCTTAAAATGCCAACTGAACATTCCCACAGCCACCAACTACTGATATGATACCTTGTCACTGAAGACAAAAAGAGCAAATTAGCCAAGTCCTCGTTCACCCAAGTTTAATTAACGTGTTTCGTGTCACGTTTCAGGGAAGCTGGACAGTTAACACAGCTCAGCCATGTGGTGACTTTCTAAGCCACTGTAACTCCACTGTCTGTTCTTCAACGTGTGCTGACTTTGGTATCGGTCACATACTCATCCCTTTCTTTCTGTTGTTTTTCCTAAATGATGACAAGGCTTCTGTCTAGTCCTTTTTCATCTGCATTACTCACACTGATTTTCTTTCCACTCAGCAGGCTTTTACTCACTCCCAAGACAGCTCTGTCATTGCTGGCAGTTAGATTCATAAGCACCGGCCTGATAATTCAGGTAAACTTTAAGTGACAACGTTGAAACTGTCTAGTTCTATCAGAAGTCGTATTTTGAGAGATAGTTTGAAACATGCAACACAAATACTGATGGTCATATCTCACTATTAACACATTAATTAATCAATACTGCTGTGAGCCTGTGAAGTACAAGTAATTACTCCCATTATATTTATGGAGAACCCAATAAACATATACTTGCATTGGCTACAGAAGGACTTGTTTTCAGATAAATGACTAATTCTTGTGAGAGTGCAATCAAGAGTCTTGTGTTCACACCATGCCTCAAATTCCTCTCGAGTACTGACTCTCGTCCAACTGTGGATAAAAATTAGGCAGGTGAAACGGTAACGGCAGCCAGCTGCCTACTTTGCTCTTCTGACAGAGGATGCTGCCCCATGGCAGGAGTAACCAAACTACTCTCTAACCACGGTAGTTTTAACACTGTTCAATTTTAATATTATTCAGTATTTAAGTTAAAACTTTTTTTTTTTTTGAAGACTCTGTTTTCTTCTTTCCCCTTCTGAAACCACGATGCCCACTTATCCTTTTTAAAAGATATCTATGGCTTAATCTGGAAACTTTATACCTAAATGGGTCATCTTGGCCCATTTCCTCTAATTTAATACTCTCTAATGCCCTCCTAACAGGTTCACCCCAGCTTTCACTCAGTCAAAAATTCACCTATACTTACATTGCATTCTCAATGACCGTATTAACTGCACATATACCGGAATAAATCGAAAAAGCTGCTACTTCTCTGATGGAGGGTGGCAGCTGATTAACAGGGCACATCAACATGCCACAACGATTCCAGAAAGCAACAGAACAATGCGATATCCAACTAAAACTGCACAGGGGCAGACCATGACTTCCGAAATCTAGCTAAAGCACAGGAAATTAAGACTATATAATTCACAGTTTGGAAATTCATGTTACAAGTCTGATTCGAAGTTAAAGCTGATAGACTGTCCCTGTGCTCACACAAAGCACAGAGGAGCTCTAAGATCACTCTGCAAACTCTGAATTACCGGTGTAATAAAAATGCACAGGGCAGCGTGGCCTTACCTCCAGGCTTCTTTCCTGCTGTGAACTAGATCTTTACAATTTCAAGTGGTGATTTTAATACTGAAATCCAACATATTTCCAGCTAAAAGAAAGAAGAGGAGGTGGCTCAGGGGACTGGCAACAAAGTAGGAAACCACTAGTTTTGAATAGAAGACTAAGCCACCAGCAATAGAAAATAACTAATTAATGGTTGTATTGAGAAGTTGTTTTGAAATACATCGGTAGTTTAGTTTCCAACACAAAACCCCTGGCAGTCGTTACTTTTCGCTGTGACTCCCTCTACAGAAGTCTGTGATTGCACTGCCACTCGCACGGTGAATGTCCATGCGCTAGATGAATAATCCTCATCCTTGAAATAATCCATCTGGGAAAATCTGACTGCATTCACAGCAGCCCAGTTTCTTGCTACTTTCTTTCTGTAGACAGGATTTCTCTTTCCAACTCAGTCTGACAGAAGGTACAATCAGAAGTCAAGAGGTCTAAGTATCTCAAGAATCTGATTGCCAGTGGACAAGCATTTGGCCGTGCCTATAAAAGAGGTATGGGGAACAGTGATGCAGGACTGGCCAGTGAGAGAGACGGATGACAGCACAGTACAGGTCAAACCTTTCCTTTCAGCCTGACAAGCTTCAAACTTTGAATTCATTTGCTTATTTATTGAAGCAGCAGCATGGATACCAATTACATTGAAGATTCATGACAGAAGTCATTTAAAAGAACAAACTAATAGGCACAAATTCAAGGATGAGATTTAGACAACTTCAGTTCGTATTGGGATTCAAGATACAGCAGTGGTCGCTTGGACCAACACATCCAGTTCTAATGTTAGGTGCCCTAGGTTTTCTGCCTTTGCTATATGACACTAAGTTAATGGTGTACTCATCCCATTTCACCAAGTCTGCAGGGGTGCTAAACTCTCTTGCACAGCTCTGCTATCCCTCTAGCATGTTCAGCAGATCTATGGAGATCTCTCTTTTAACAATACCCTTTCTCTGATCGAGGCTGAGTTTCTAGGAACTGCATGATTTTCCTTCTCTTTCAACGACAGAAAAGTATTAGTAGAAATAGCATAACAGCCAGACCAAGTGAGGAATGAAATGCTACTGTTCCCTGGTTTAAATGTCTAGCAAATACCAAACCAGTGGAACTCTCCAGTTTAGCAAACTGCTGATAATTACAGTAACCATTTCTCTGCTCTTTTTAGACAAATTAAGAGAAAACTCCCCAAACAACTCTTGAGCTCTCAGTAACAGATTTTTGTGGGGGTTTTAGCTTGTACTTACACTACTGGAAAAGTTCTGAGCATACTTTACATGGGGATGGGACGTTATAAAGCCTCTTGGGGGTCTTCAGTGTTATTCACCATTCTGTAAGACACAATGAACAGATACAAGAACGTTAGAGATTTCTATGAAAGGCAAATGCATTCCGACTCCTTGTTATCTGACTTACAATTATACAACCGGCTTACAGAGGGCAACCTTACGGCAGTTTCACCAGGCAGTCGTGCCAAATCACTTCTCGTTAAAAAAACAAAGACAGGCGCCTTCAGGATCCTTCTCAATCACCCAATCCATCCCTCTGCTAAAAGGCAGTAGAATGTATACCGATCACTAAATATAGCCGTAGTTAAGAAAAATGTTCCCTGGAACAACCGAATTTTCTTATATCATCTCTCAATTTATTCTTTTTTCACTTGGTCCGTTAAAGCCTCACCCTCTTCCTTCACTTTGCCTTCAGTGGGATCTTTGACATGGTTTGTAACAGACCCATGGTCTTAAAAGTCTGGCAAATATTCTTTGACATCCAAACACCCTATGAATTGTAACGACTCAGGTTATTAACGGATACTTCACAGATCTAAACAAGGCCAACCAGGTGAGTATTCTGAGCTTGTGTACATCCACAGGTTAGAAACTGGAAATGTTCAATCACATTACTCTGGATAACCTGTAACTAATCCAGACCCATATATAATCACAGACATAGACTTCAATGCACATGGTAGATTCCTAAGGAGAAAGTTGATGTCTGGTAGCATAATCAGTCCAGAGACAAAAATTTAAATTACAATTGATTTCTTTTGGCCACAAGTAAATTCATCTATGCAATCATTTAGTCTTATGACAGTTACCTACCCTTTTAACTCACAAAAGCTATTAAAAGGATTATTTGGCTAACATCCGCAAAGAGCTTAGAAGACAGGTACTATGTTCTGAAAAGGAATGACCTAATAGAATTTTCTTTAGCCATCGCTGCTGATGTCTCTCTCCGCAAACTAACACAGACTGAAAGTGCTTCAGAAGTCAAACTATTAACCAGCGGGAAAAAGAAAGGCAGGATATTACATCCAGGCAGACACAGAACGAACTAGACAGAATATTTACACTTCAGGCTACGGGAGCATGTGAGCTGGAATAGGAAACAAGCGGGTCGAGCAGCACAGGGCTTTGCATGGGATAATTTACCCTGTTCCATAAAGAAATGTCTGTAATATTAGCAACCAAGCCTTGTGGACGGACACATCTTGGCTCTTCTCGGTGGTTAAGAGTGGTCCAGACGCTATAGCATGGCTCTTCCTCTGTCACACCTGCTATAGGGTTTGGGGAAGAACTGCAACTATTCCACATGGAGTCCACTGGGCATACACAGACTATGCTATCGTTTATGTGGCTTCTTTTTTTTTCCTTTGTGAAAAAAATTAGGAACTCTCAGGTCAAAAGGCTTGGCCGTGAGCTTTTCCCAAAGTAGCAGCAGTCAGTTTCTGGCCACCAACCTTCCCAGGGGTTTTATGTCTGCCCCTACATGGTTGCTCCCACCCAGATGTGGCAAAGGAAAGTGCTGTTTTCGGGGAGGAAGCTGCTGGGAGCTGGCTGCCGCCCTTTCCAAACCAATTCATTTGGCCCACATCTAGGTCTCGAGTTGCCTTCTTCCTCTCCAGGAAAGGAGGTCGCCAAGAGCAAGGTCACAGACAAGATGAGTGGTCCCAGCAGACCACAGGTCAGGTACCGTGGCCTGGGAGAGAAATCGTGACACCAAAGTACTGATGGATGGAAAAGACAAACACACAGGTCCCTTGCAGTCAGCCACCCCAAACCTTTTAAAGAGAGTTCTACACCAAAACACTTCTGTTAAACGTCTTAACTGCATTTAAAACATTTTCCCTGAAGCAGTCACAAAAAATATGAGATCATGCTGTTGACTTAGTGCCAAATTTTGAGTTTAATACAGAGAGCTGTTTTGTTTTCCAAAGAGGAACAAATTAGACTTAGATATATACAAACTTCCTGAAGGTCAGAGAGGCTAATGATAGAGAACTGGATAAAGATCTGCTTCCAGGGTGAGGAGCGTGGAAGAAGCAAAGAACAAAACCCATGAAGGAAAGAAAAGATCGCCTTCCATCACCATGAAACGCAGTATTAAAACTAGAATATGAGGAGATGAGCTAGAGAGCCAAAGAAAAGGCTGCAGTAACTCAGGTGTAAGACGACAAAGGCAGGCCAATGATATTAGTGATACTAATGGAAGAGAAAAAAAAGGTACGGACCTCGGACGTTATAAATGAAGAGCCATTAGGATCTAGCCTAAATTTGGGATGTGAACAGAGGAGGAAGAAGGAACTTTTCCAAGAGAGTCCAGATCTGTGCACGCAGACAGACGATAGCATTTCAGCAGAGATAAACAGGAGAGAGTTCATGTGAAAAGAAGAGGAATTTTCCAGTTTTGCTATGTTAAAGGTTGAGGCAGCAATATTATAGTATGAATGCCGTCGCAAACTGTCACAGACGGAGCCAAGCAGTAAGGTGGGCTGGGGAATCCTCAGGTCTGCCTCGGTAGCTGGACTTGTGAAAGCAAATGCAGTGGCACAGAAAGGAGGAAGCTAGCGCTTCCTACGGCTGATGCCAGAACAGAACGGCTGCTATTGAAAAGGGTTACAAACAGGCTTTGACTCAACGTTGGTCTAAAGTTCAGTGGCACAGAAATACCTTCCCTGCCCCCACACACATGTAAAGGTTGCTTAAATATTTTTGTAATTTAAGGGCACATCAGACAGGAGACAAGCAACCCCTCGCCTATAATTCTAGCCAAAAAAGTTCAGCCCCGAACAACGTAACTTCCGCCACCAAGCAATCATGAGCCTGAAATCAGGAATCAACCAGGTTTTATCACAGCAGCAAAAGCAGGTGTCACCACAATCTATAGTTGATATGGAAGTAAGAACTCACAAACCTTTGCCCTTCTCGCATTATTCATTAAATAAATTATCTGCTAACACAGGGAAAACACTACCAGCTCTCCTTCCTATTTCTGGCACAGACAATAAAAAAACCCTCAATATTAATATGGAAATCATGGCCACAGTTGTAGAATCAGATGTAATGAACAATCTTGTCCCTAGCTTAAGTTGCTATAAAGGCAGCTTAAATTTACAATGGATGAGTCTTCATGGCAATCTGTTTTTCAGATATTAAAAATCTCATTTTCTCAGTACCAAGGACAAGTGGACGTATGAAGCACTGGAGTATCAACTCTGCATTTGTCTCACTTGACATGAAATCATTCTCATTTTAGTTCAGATTTTTAATACATTCTTGGGATCCACTTCGGTTTTCTTCATTTCTCACTGTATGCAATTAAATGTTTTCAAGTATATTTCACCCTGATCCACAAGGCTCTGCAGAGGCAAGGAAGAAGTCACTTGGTAAAGATGAGGCTGATATCACTTACTTGGAAGGGAAATTCATTTTCCCTTTTAATTTCTGAGTGAGTCACACAGTAAAAAATAATGCCACCACTTTGTATTTCACTAATACCTTCCTTGGTCCGTTCTTAAAAAGGGCTTTACAAATAACAAATTAAAAGCCTTTGTCCTTGGGGAAGAGAAACATCACCATTTTGTCAAAAGTAAAACATGAACAGGGGGGCTAAATTCTTGGCTTAAAGCCACACAGGATAGTATCAGTGGCTGAACATGGTATCTGCCTGAGGACATAGCCCCACTACTACAAGAGGACTATCACCAAACCAGCTATTGAAATGTAAAAGAACCAAGTTTCAGCTTGCTGATAAGAAACAGTGAAAATTCAGCCCAAGAATGAAGTTCTACCGCTGCTGAATTTGCCATAAAGGCGGATTCCCAACCCCATGCGTAATTACAAACCAATCCTCTCCTAGAAGTAACAAAAAATTTCAAAAATTAAGTCTTTTACTTAGTGTACAGCTTAAGGTTTATAGGAATTATCAGGTCTCCTGGCTGGACTCTGCGCGTGTGTGCATATGCACGTGTCTATAAACACGGGCCATTACGTTTCATCCGCTTCACCTTCTCTACACTGAGGTCAGCGTAAAGTAAAACAAACCTGTTATCTGGCTTAACTTATGTCCAGAAGACACTTTGCCTCAAAACCACCAAGAGACAAGGATCCATCCATTCTAGTTCACACCAGTGGTTAACCACCCTCTCCATTACAAATTGTACTTGATTTCTACTTTGAATGTGTCTGGCTTCAGATTCCAGACTGTAGCTCCTGTTAAGCCTTCCTTTGCCAGCCTGGAGTCCTTTATTCTTGGGAGATGTTCAGACAGGCTGTTGTTTACCCAGTGCTTTTAAAACTCCAAGTACTGCATTTGTATCAAAACTTAAAGATAAATTCATCTGGGTGCATGCACAAAAGTAGGACTAGTGTCCAGAATACTAAAGCTAATCTAGGACTCTCTAGCCCATTTTCCCAAAATAGGCCTATTAGAAAAAAAAGAAAAAAATGCTATGCCATCTGACTTGAGGATGTGTTACATTTGTGCCCTGGAAAGCAAGGTTAAGAACCTTCTCTGAAAACTGCCACCTCCTGAGCACACGCTGTGGGCTTGCCGAGGTGCAGCATCCAGTTTCATGCCGTCGTTGTACCGCAACATGAAGAGAAGAGTTGGTTCTTAAGTCTCCAGGCTCCGAGTTATTTAAACATCACTACTTTAATTTAGTACATTGATCTGTACCTTGAGCATGGTCCCGTGCAGACCCTCAAGGTACGCAACAAGCTCTCGTCAACTATCCTTGCTCAACAAGCAATGCAGCCGCGGCATTTGCTGCAGCTTCTGGGTTACCTTGAACCGATGCCTGCGAGGAGCATGCTGGCTCAGGTGCAAGGTAACAAGGCATGATTGCTATGGCAGAGATCTTGGCTTAAGGGACAGGTCCCAACCTGTCCCTTAGCATTAGAATCACAGAGCGGTTGAGGTTGGAAGGGACCTCTGGAGGTCCTTTTGTCCACCCCCCCTGCTCAAGCAGGGCCACCCAGCGCCAGTTGCCCAGGACCACGTCCAGATGGCTTCTGAGTATCTCCAAGGTTTGAGACTCCACCACCCTCTCCA